TCGGATCGAAGTCACTCCTACGCGGTGAACAACACTCTCAACTCACAAAACGCGCAGAGAACACAGGTCCGCACTGAAGGACTCACTGTGAAACATTCCAGTAACACAACAACAGTCTATTGAAGAGTTTGAATTCTTAGGCACTTGTCATTCCCAGAAATACTACAGGGGTTACCCTCAAGGCACCTGCTGCAGCGTAACCTGAATTTACAACCAAGGCTTACACGAAGTAGCAAAACTTCACTTTGGCATTCAGGGGAAAAATCCCAAGGAGTACAATCAGAAAGAAACACTCGAAGGTGTAGGGGCGAAACTGTTCAAGTATCTAACTAGTCACTGGCTCTGAGCATCGGCAGTCACCCGCAGGTGCAGTTCCAAACTACTCAAGTCTCTAACCAATGTACTAGCTCTGAACATTCGGCCGAAGGCCTTCAGCTACAAGATGCGGAACGCTAAGTTGTAACTCCTCGTGCGTGGTGACAGAACTCAAGGACACAAACACGCAAAGGAAATGGGTTCCTGATCTGCACTTCTGATGGGAAAGAACCCCAGGCAAAACGCCTGGAACTATTTTATACCTTCTAAGTCCTACCTAGCACTACACTGCACTACGCTACACGCCTGCACGGAACCACGCTACACTACACTCCGCGGAACCTGTACTACGTCTCCTGCGCGGCCGACTGCCGCGCACTAACTCCCTACCCTGCCAATCTTCCGCTCGACTGTGCAGTCCCAAACGCTGCAACGCTGCGAACACCTCCACTTCGAGGGCGGACATGGTATCCTGTGCCTTCGACAGAAAGGCATCGAGCTTCTTTGCTACCTTCCGCCGACTCCTACTGTCGCCTGACAACAACCCGGCTGCGCGTAATTCAAACTCACGCAGTGTGAGTTTCTCCTGCGCCTTCACTTCCCAGTGGGCGTAGCCCTTGAGGCAGTGGGCGACACGCCTCGCCGTCTCCACCTTCGTGCGATCCGCCTCCTTCCTGCGATCCTCTTCAATTATCACTAATTGCGATTCGGCTTCAGCACGTTGCGCTCTCAATTCGCCACACTCTGACTGTAACCTGCGGATTAACTCTTCATCCGCCTGCCGTGCGAGCTGACATTGTTCCAACAACCGCGTCTGTCGCACGAGCTCCTCTGACAAAATCCGATTCTGGGCCTGCTCAGAAATGAGTGCTTCCTTGACCTTCACCTGCTCCTTGGTGAGCTCGTCCAGTTTCTCATCCTTCATCTTCTCGGAGTGCTTGTAGAATTTCTGATTAAGTTTGTACTGACCCCACAAGCATGCATGCTTCTCCTTCAATTCCCTCAACTCCTGGTCCACTCTAGCTAACAGCTTGCTGGTGTGGACTTTAGTGCGAGTCCGCCTGCGCACTAACTCGATGTAAGATCCCGGCTGGAGTGGGTCGGCGTATTTATCGACCTTGCGATCCAAGTACCTCAGCAACGGAATCACCTGCTCAGAGAGCGCCGCCGCCGGCGCTCCAACAATTTCCTCCTCCTCCTCCTCGGTGTCTTCTGCTCCTGACATTTCTTCCGTGGAGCCTCCGTCGTCATCATCCGAGTGGAGAATTTCAGTCGCCATTGATTGCGTCGGCGACTGCCCCGCAAAGGCAAGGCTGCAGCCTCGCTGCTCGTCGCCAAAATGTCTAAGGCGGAAGGCGAATGTACCCGTGCGGCATCCCCGTCGCTCGCTTGTTGGTTGTCTACCGCGTCCTCTCTGCCGCCGTTGCCCGCCGCCGAAGGCGATCGAGCGGAGGGTGGCTGCGCGGGGTTTGATTGCGCATCGCGCATCGAAATTTCATCCCGCGGACAGTCACTCCGCTCCACCGTCTGTTGCTGCTCCCTTGATCGGTCCGTGGGGGCTGTGCCCGGCCCGTGCGCAGGCGCGATTGCCGGCGCCTTGTCCGCCGCAGGCGTAGCGCCGCGGACATCTATCGCCGAAGGCGACATGGCCGGGGGCCGCTCGCCCGATGTCCCTTGGCCTATAGGCCCTACCGCCGAAGGCGCATCTATCGGCGGACTACCCGCCGATGATGCGGCCTCCGCACGCTCCCTGCTCGTATCTCCTCGGCTCGAAGGCCCTGGCGCCGAAGGCGCAAATTGCGGCGCGTGGTGCGCCGGTGGGTCTGGCCCCGAGGGCCGGTGTCTCGTAGGCGGTTCTTCCGCCGGCTCCTTCCCCTTCCTACATTGGAACGGGGGTGATTCTTGCCTGTGCACAGGCGGCACGTGTGGAGGTGTCCTGTGCACAGGCGACCTGTGCACAGGCGAGCGCCTGTGCACAGGCGGACTGCTCCTTCCCACGCGTAAGCGTAGATCCACGTCCACTTGTGTTCGCCGGTCCGCGGAGGCTCGTCCGTCCGCGGAGGCTCGTCTGTGCGCAAACGGAACATCTGTCCGCATCGCACGTGGTAACTCCGGAGGCCCTTGGCCCGTAGGCGGCCTCTCTCCCGTCGAGGTTGCAGCGTGGCCCGTCGCTCCTGCGGTCGTCCGCGCTTCCTCATGCCTCTTTGGCGACGCACTTCCTTGCTCCGTCGCAATCGTCGCCGTGTCCGCACTGTCGGCTGGTAACACCAGTCTGCGTGCCTTCTGCTTCGGCCGGCTGTATGGCTCGCACAGCGGCCGCGGTCGAATGGGAGCAGAGGGTTCTTGATGCTGCTCCTCTTCAGACTCTTCCCTCCATCGCCGCTTCCGCGGCACTCGTGCTGCAGGAGTGTGTCTCCCTTCGTCCCTCCGTCTTGATGGGGTAGAAGTCGGTGACTCCTCTGCATCAGTGTCGACCTCATTCTCCCGCACATACTTCCCGGGATGGTCGATGGACAATGGCGGAAAATGTTCCAGCTCCGCCGCTGTCAAACAATTCCGCTGTCGATAAAAATTGATGAGGAAAGGAGAAAGATGGTTTAGAGTTCCCCCCTTCTCCTCAAACGCGTGCTGTCGCATCACCCTGTGCAGGATGCTCGCCCAGTGAATTGGAGTTCCCTCGATGACGCACTCCACAAAAGAAACCTGCCACAATGTGATGTAGCAGGCGCGGTGCGGCTGCAGTAATTGCATCAGCGCCGCGGACAAAGTCCGGCGAAATCGATCCTTGTAATCACGGGTCCTGTACCCATTCTTGGTAGACCTCCCGGTCTTGAACAGCTCCACAAATTGCGCCTCTTCCTGCTTGGTCACCTTGATGCTCTCACTGTCGAAAAGGAGATGCCCTGGCATGCCAGCACATCTTCCCAACGCCTGCGCCCAATCTTGGACTGTCCACCGATCAACATGCGGACGCAATCCGCGCGAGGGTGGTCCCTGTGGCTCTAGCCACTCGCGCACCATATTCGCACAGATGTAGTTCCATCCCCATAGCAAGAAATCAAGCTTTCTTGCTATTAAGCGCTCCTCGAAAGCGCGCAGCCCGTTCTGTGGTAGGCGAAGTGGCACCATCCGCAATCGGCTCGGTCTCGTCATTGCGTTCCTGGGGTTCGCTCGCCCGCTCATTCTACTTCCGCACCGCCCGGGCTTCTTTCTCTCTCGGCAAACTCTAATCGCCCTCAATTCCAAATCACGCGCATTCACTTCTCCTTCAATCAACAAGAAATCTCCTGTGCGGCGACGTCGAGAATGTTCAGCAGCCAGCAGATGGATGCGCGCAGCGCGCACAAGAGATTGGAATCGCGAATTCAAGAATGGGACGTTCTCCGCCGCCCGGTCGAAGGTCATGGTCGGCTCTTGCTCGTGAAGAACGTCTCACTTGATGGCCGCGCCGGCTGTACGCTGGAACGGTCTTCGCTCTCACGCGCGGCTTCACGCTCCGCCGTCGTCGATTAAACTCTCACGCTCGAATTGGCGGATTTGAACTCCGCGAGCGTATTACCCCGCGGACATGGGGGCGTAGCGCCGAAGGCGAGTTTTCCGCCTTGCGCGGTACACTTGTTCGTACCGCCCCTCGGCCAATCCCCCTCTGCCTTGACGCGTGTGTCCGCATGTCGGACAAAAATTCAACTCCTGCCTGTGCGCAGGCAGAAGCCTCGGCGGATGCTCCGCCGGCACGGAACTTGAACATCCTCCTGTGCACAGGCGTTCGCCTGTGCGCAGGCGAATTCCGTGCGCGGCGCTGCGCTGGCGCGGAAGGCGTTGACCGTGGTCAGCCGTCTCCGTCCAGTCTGTCCGTTCCTTGTCTCTTCGTCGGCGCTTCCGCCGCCGCAATTCCGTCCGTCCAAGAGCGCATCCACCCGTCCCGTCCGCATGGTCCGTACCGATTTGATTACTCTGGCGGCTCTTCCGCCGTACGCGGCGCTGCGCTGGCGCGGAAGGCGCCGTACACTTTCTACCTCACAAGGCGCATTTCTAGGGCCCAAGGCGGATTTTCCGCCGACGCCGAAGCGCCTGTGCACAGGCGAGCGCCTGTGCGTAGGCGGACTTCGCGCCCCCCCTAACCCTACTTCGCCTGTGCACAGGCGAACGCCTTCGTCCGCGCATAAGACAAAACTTGATTCCCCCTTCCGCGTAGGCGGAATTCGCGCCGGTGGCGAACTCCTTCCGCCGTAGGCGACCGCCTCCGTTTCTTCCAGTAGTGATAACTCCCTAAGTCCTCATCCGTTCCAAGCGTTCTTGGGCTCGTTGGAATCAGTGCGTCGAGCTCTTTCCAACGGGACCCTAACTTGGTCAAGGCGCCCGAGGGTTGAGCTAATTATGGAGGGTTTCCCTACAGCCGCGGACGCAACCTCCGAAGGCGGGTTTTGCGCCTTGCGTCGTAGGGGTCCTAACTGCAGAGCTCGCAGGGAGGGTGGTGCCTGTCCTTACTGCTGCACCCCAAATCCCAGATTCTACAAGATCCCTCGAGAATCCCCGCGATCTTCTGGATTCACTCTGTTTTGATGTACCGAAGGCTATTTACAATGCTGCCAGGGTACAATTTTTCAAAAAATGTTTTAATTTCCTCAAAATTGCCAAAAGTGGGGTACCACACTTAGTATCAAATTTATTCACACTTTATTATACAAAAACAAGAGGAGTTTGGTGACATGTATATACAACACGCTGTTCCTAAAATTACTCCCCTACAATCCTCCGCAAGGGCTAGCGGTCGTCCTCATGTTCTCCCTGAGAGTGATGACAGATTCATGCTTTACATAGCATTGTATTCTCGAATGTGTGCTCTCTTCTAATTTGGTGCCCCAGTTTTGGCGAACCAAACACACATCTGACTGTCATCAGGACAGGAGGCAATACAACTCAACGTCTACTTATTGGTTGTTTCCTGTGACAGCGTCCTTGGCGTTCGTCAAAGTTTCCTTCACCTTCTCACCAGCCTGCATCCACAACCATTACCAGTGTCAGCTGTGCCCTTCAGAATAAAGAGTGCGATTCTCGCACCACCACATTCATGACTTTCACAACACGTGAGGACTATGCCACAACATTTCCTAACGGAGGATGGGAAAGTACCTGCTGCAGAGCATTGCCAGTGTTGTCCTTGGCCTCGACGGCCTTGTCCTTGGCAGTCTGGGTCGCGTCGGACGTGGCTTGTCCCGCCTGGTTGGCCTTGTCCTTGGCAGCCTGGCCCATTCCTTGGGCGTGATCTTGTGCCTGACCGGTCTTCTCAGCTCCGAATTGCTTCGTGTGCTCCGTGGTCTGGGCAGCTGAGTCCTTGGCGCTCTGCATCTGGTTGGAAGACATTGTCGATGAATTGGTCGTTACGAGAATTCTGCAACTGAAATCCCAGGTGTATGAAAGTGAGGAATTGCTGAGATGAAGATGTGAAGATTCGGATTGAAGATGTGGGGAGACTAGCAGGCCAGCCTTACATACAGTTTCCAGCATGGGCTTATGACGACAGAAGAATTCGCAAGTTGATTAGCTTCGAAGTTAGTGTCCTAGCCGACTTTTTCTTAACAGGTGCCATAATTGTATTCGGTCGGTCACATAACGTTAGCTTCATCCGCAAGGTGGACACGTTTTGCTCGCAGCGCGAAGTCGGAATTGTGGTGCTCAGCGGGATGCTCTCTTTTAGCGACAAGTGCACCACGAGGTTCTGACAATGCGCCTGCTCATTTCCGAGCCCATGTCTGTTTCGTCCCATGCAGAGAAGGGGCTGTCAATCAGACAAAAGAAACTGGAAAGGAAGGGTTGCAAGAGTTCATACTAATTGCAACCCTAATTCAACCCTAGTTGCAAGAGTTCATACTCAATGAAGAAATCATTGCAGTGATGCAGTTTTGATCACGAAGTATCCTCAACAGTTCCAGGATGTTAGATACATATATGTGTATTGAGAATACTACCTAATAACCAAATGGAAAATACCTTTAATGACAACATTATGATAGATCAAGATAATGCTTACTAAAAGTTGATATGTAAGTTGTTTATGATAAGTTTGTGTACCAAAGTATTCAAAGATAAAATTATGTAGACACATATTTGCTTCTCTAGAGATGAATTATATGAAATCATGATGAAATATGAGAATGATACATTATAAGTTATAAGGTACTATTCATTTGGCTATAAGTTATAACCAATCAAATCAAAATGTATCACTTCCAGCATGATTTGATTTGCAATCATACATGGGAATGGGAGGCAGTTTCTGATTAAACTTCATGGTCCAGAGCTTTAGAGTTTCTTGTGATTTTTGATCCTCTTGTGTCTTTCGGATCGAAAATGTTTTCAGGCGCCTGTTCTTGACAGCCCTCCAAGAGGCCAAATCGCTATCAGTCATGTCCTTTCATGGTGCAGCACTATTTTTCCTATCATAGTCTCTCGAGAACCAAAAGGCAGGTGGAGAAGAGACTCTTATCTCATGCAACGTATATAGGGGAAGAGCGCCAGGTCGGAGATTTCTCAAATCCCATACGTTCATTTTGGAAATCTTGAATAGCTTGCCTCATTTCCTCCTCTGTATTCATGACAAAAGTCCCAAACTGAACAAGAGGTTCTCCCAACAGCTCACCATCAATGAGTACAATAGCAGCAAAGCTTATCCTGTGTGTTACATACACTCATTACCATTACCAGGCCACAACTGTGTTGTATGAAATGCAGAAACTGATGTTGCGGTCTTCGTCCTCAACCTAACCTTTCCTTCAAGGACATATGTGTAAAAGCCTTCCCTCTTTTAGGAATATCTTGATGTACCACTGCCCCAGATTTTAAGAAAAAGTCAAGGAACATAATTGGGGTGAGAGTGTAGACCAGAGATTTGATGCCATGAGACGCCCATGAGCGATCACTTTAACTTCCACCCCCATTATCGTCCACCTTTTTCTTTATGGTATTCCTTATCATGTGGTGGTGTGCAGGAGGACTGTGATTATACCTGGAGAGGTTCCAAATTTGATTTGTGAAAGGCCTTTGCAAACTTTTTCCTGCCCGAGATGCTTGAGAATCCCTTCATAGATTGAAGCTGCATGTAGTTTTTTATGGCTAACTATTATTATGATTTAGATGGCATTTTGACAGAAGAGTATTTCATTTTTAACCTGTTGAAAGATATGAACAGGGTGTTGTTCCATTTTGAGCATAATCAATTTCTGTTGATTTCATTCAGGGATCATCTTGATTCCACTAGATTTAACTATATCTGGTACTTATTCATCCAAACCAAAGGATTGTTGTTGGATTCCTTATGGGACGCATTGCGACCACTGGAAGGATTAACAATTGCCAAAACCACAAATTATATCTCGTCTACTGTGGTTAAGTCGTGAGGTTTCAAACTTACATCTGTGATTGCAAATTGTAGTAGTAAGATAAAGGTTTCAAATTGGAGTAAGCACTTTCAAGGACAAAAGTGAGTATCCCAAAGACCCAATGCATAGGACTCGATTAAATCGCAGGAGACACAAAAGTTGTCGAAACAAGTGAATCCTTGCAACAAAAGGTGGAGAGGAGACACTCTCATCAGTTGCATAGGCGTGCATATGGAACAATCACCTGGTCAAAAAACTCTATGTCACAGTCTTGTTTTCTTCCTTTCATCAACAAAACGCCAACAACTTTTGACTGTTTAAATGACAGTTTGCGTGCAGGAGAATAACTCTTTTATTTCATATTGCTTTATTTAATTTGATATTTCTTTCTTTCCTTCTTTCATTTAATATTTCTTTCAAGTTTACAGTAAAGTGGAAAATATTTTATGCCAAACATTAACATAAGTTGGCTTTCGTATTGTGATGGAAAGGCTTTGAATTCCGGACATCCTTATTTGTATTGCACTTTCTGTTCTCAAATTGGATTAAGTTTGGCGGATTGGCTTAGGATATGCATATATCAACCAATCTCAAACGTCATCTATAAGCTGTTGATGAAATACAGAATTTTTTCATGTCAGATAAAGAAGATAGATGTTAAATTTTAACTTATGCGGTAGATTCTATATTATTAATTTCTTTCTGATGTGTTTTGGAAATCTTAAAATAAAAATTATATAAACTTAGTCTAATTATTTTTAAATTTATCAAGCCGAAGTAAGGGTTGCAAGGATGGATCCATCCTTGCAGCTTATTCTGCTGTTTCCTCTCAAAGTTCCGATCCGCGAGAATTGCAGAAGCTAGCAATTACTTGACTATTCGAAACGCCCTGCCTGAGGACGACTTAATTGTTTTTTGGTTTTCAAGAAACGATGCAGTTGCAGAGAATCGAAAATTATCTCACGACTCATACTGTTCCTGTTACTTTGGTCTCATGTTTATGGCTGGACACTCTAACTCTTTACGGTAAGCTTCATATCAGTTGACACGCTCTTGAGGAGCATGAGTCAGTGCTCCAAGCCGAAAACTTCTTCAAAAGCAGGCACTGTCACTAATCATCATAATTAATTTTGACGTCTAATTGTCTTTTTCCAAGAGGACTTAGTGGAGGATTCTTTCTTAATTACAGAAGTTTGAGACTTATTTATACAGATTTTATATTCAATAGCTCAGATTTGTAATAGTATAACAGAATTTATCAGTAAGTTAGAATGTAAATTTCAGTGTAATGAGTTCTTTGAGTTTTACTCAAATGTTTAATTTTTTTCATTCGAATTGTTTTCAAATTTTTAAGTTATTAAAAGAAAGTTTACTAGTCAATGTATATAAACTATGTTACTAGATTTAAATTCAGTTTTATGGTTATTTTCGTTTGAATGATGATGTGTACAATGTATGATTTGTTCGTTATATATTAGTGTTTCCGTTTTTTATTTTTTTATTCTGAAGAAGATGCTTTTGTCCACTGTCTTTAGCAAATCAGAGAGAGTTGTCATTTCTTCCTGCAGTAAGCAGTTTAGCAGGAATGGATAAATGAAATTAATTTTTCAACGTACTAACTATAGGCCCAAATAGAAACAAGATTCATGTGTGACAATATCATGGCGACTCTACATCAGATTCACGCAAATATTCAAAGGAAAATTTTATCATACACACTGGGAATTGCGGCTGGAAATAGATTACTTTATTACGTACTGCTTTTCCTCTACAGAATGTACATTCCAACGTTGTTGGGACGCTGATTACTCGGATGACATTGCGTCGATGCCCCGAAGATCAACGCTTTTAAAGAAATGTACTGGTGGAGATGGGTTTTACTTCTGCCGAGATTTTAATGAAGGCAAAAGTAGATTACTGTACACGGCAGATCATAAGATGTTTTCACGTGAACCACGCACTGCAATAAATACTTCGAACGATCTACATACTGACTTTGTATCCAACCCTCTGGCCATCATATTCGATGACCTATTGGTTGTTTCCCATGACGGCGTCCTTGGCATTGGTCAGGGTCTCCATCACTTTGTCTCCGGTCTGTACAAAGCATTTCATTACAGAGGTCAGCACCAAAATCCCTTCGAAAACGATACTATTCAATGTACGAAAACCAGATTGAGAGAGACAATACATGCAAAATTCACAAAACGACACCGATTCAGAGGAAAGAACCAAATCGATTATTAACGCTCACCTGCTGCAAGATGCTGCCAGTGTTGTCCTTGGCCTCGACGGCCTTGTCCTTGGCAGTCTGGGCGGCGTCGGAAGTAGCCTGACCAGCCTGGTTGGCCTTCTCAGACGTGAAGCTGCCGACGTCGTTGGCCTTGTCCTTGGCAGCCTGACCCATGTCCTGGGCGCGGTCCTGGGCCTGCCCTGCCTTCTCAGCGCCCACGTTCTTGGTGTGCTCAGCGGTTCGAGCAGCTGAGTCCTTAGCGTTCTGTGCCTGATTCGACGACATGATCACGATAGAAAATGGAGACTAGGAAGTAAATCCGAAAAAGAAGAGAGCGGCTGAAATTGAGATTCGTAGTATGAGTGAAATAGCTGAATTCGAGATTGGATGCGTGCTGTATACAAAGTGTTTCTGCTCTTATATATGCGAAGGAGCAGCCGCACCCCATGCAATCGCCAGAGCACGATCGGAGCAAAGTAGGATTTTGTCGACACGTGTAGCGTTGCTGCTGGAGGCCGTGGCCGTGGAAGAGCTCGGGAATGTTCCCTTCATGGTGACGACAATTCGTGTCGATTGCAGCGCTCGTTTCGCAGGCTGATCCTCGAGCTGCTGAAGCGGAGAGCGACACGTGTAGTTGAAGTTCAGCACCTTTCCACTTATTCTCCAGAGCGCGGATAGAACTTTTCAGAATCGGCGCCCACAGCAACCGGACGATCGATCGTGAGCCCAGGTCAACATGCTGCGCTGCGACTCGAAACAGGTGTCCTGCAGTCAGTGCTCAGGTCGGGAAAGAACAGCTGCGAGTTTCATATTTTGGTCGGCGTTGGATGAAGTCGGAGTGACTGCGACTGTGACGTTTCTCGCCGTGGAGAGTCCAATGATGTTACTGCAGCATTGGCAGAAAGTGTTCGTCAACCTCGTGACCACGTGAAGAGGAAGAGGATGAGGATGTCGTTAAGATTTGTCCGTTTATAGCCTACCGATTGTTTTGAGTGGGCGCAATGT